ATTGAAGCTGGCCCAGACAGGCCCTTAAATACTATTGTTATTCGAAGAATTATGAATTACAAGTTGCGATTTAAATTCCATTTGTAAAAATAAATTTTCAAATGACACAATAGTCGTGCAATAAATTAAGGTAAATGATAATAAGGTTTCAAAATCTCTTAACAAAAAATAAAGTTTTTCTTTACATTCGACTGTATTTTAATACTTTTAGTTGGGAAAGAAGGAAATAAAAAAAAACAAAAATGAATAGGGAAATTGCAGTAGCCGTCACCAATCTTTGGGTCATTTACACTTTTACTACTATTATTATTTTTTTATTTTTTAATTAATTTTTTTTCCCTCTTGACATGCATGCCCTCGACCTTAAATTTAATAGTGGCCATTGTCCTCATAGCAGATTTTGTCAAAATAAATAAACTAATGCATAGCAAACAATCAAAACGATAATTACTTGATAATTTATAGGATTGACAATTCGAACTTTCAAAAACTAGATTATTAAAAATTGAAGACGCGAGGCTCTTTTTAAAGTAAATGGGCTAAAAAATTGTTCACACTAATTTAGCATCTAGATCCACATTAGCAATTAGGTTCGAGAAAAGGCTCCATAATAATAATAATAATTAGGGATGTGCAAAACCTGACCGAACCAGTCAAAATCGAACCAACCCGACTGATTTGAGTTTTTTTTGTTGTTGTTTTTACACGGGTTGGTTGGGTGGGTGGGTTGGTTGGTTATGTAAGCGGGTTGAATTTGGTCAAGTTAGGGGTTAACTCATAAAAATCGAATAAACCCGCCCAACTCAACCCGACTATATTTATGAATTTTACAAGTGTTATGATGTTACTTGGAAACTCTTAGGATAATATTATAAGACTTGGATAGAATGCATTTTACTAAAAGTAATATAAGCAAATAAACATTCAACATAAAAACATTTTAATTGTCAAAAATATTTTTTGACTTTATATAATTTAATATCAATCTATCCATATAACATTTCCAGGTATGAAATACCAAAATGATTCATATTTTTTTGTTTATTGCAACTATGGAGACCAAATATTATATAATTATAAATTCGTCCATCTCGACTCGCCTACTTTAGTCTTTGTTGACAGTTGTCCAAATCCGACCTGACCGATACTTGATTGAGTTGGGTTGGGTTTGATTTCAATCTTTACACGTGTTGAGTTGAGTTAAATTATGATCAAACCGATCATTTTGGGTTTGGTTTGGGTTGAGGAAAAATCGACCTAACCCAACTCATGCCATGCCCACCCCTAATAATAATAATAATAATAATAATAATAAAATTTTTTAAAAAATGTGCGTTTTGACGCCTAAGCTCACTAAGGCACGCCTAGACACACATTAGATAGTCAAAAGAAAGGTTGGCCTTCTTTATGAAAGCCTAAGCTCACCAAGGCACGCCTAGACCACATTAGATAGTCAAAATAAAGGTTGGCCTTCTTTCTGAAAGCCTAGCCCATATGCAAAGCATTATCGAAATGCCTCATGTCTAGCCGCTTATAGTTGCGCTTTTTACGCCTTTTAAAACATTGAATTGAGGTGTCAATGAGATGAGGTTCGTGATAGGATCCTTCATTAGTCATGTGCTGTGCACATAATTATTTAAATAGAAATTTTTGATGAGTTCCGCTAGACCTATCTTGACATTATGAAATTAAATAGGTATGCCACAATCGAGACTCCAATTTGAATATGCACATTGTATTTAGACTAGAATAATCAACTTTAGTTCAAAACACTAGTTCTAAGAATTCATATTATGACCACAATAATTAGTATATGTATCTCTACACGTTATACTAATTTACCGGATTTTATTATATGGTCTAAGTCTCAAACCCATCTCTCGATTCGTAAGAAACTCAAGTAATCGTCCAATTAGTGATTAAGTAAATAATTAGTATATGTATCTCTACATGGTATACTAATTTATCGAATTTTACTATATGGTCCAAATCTCAAACTCACCTCTCAATTTGTAAGAGACTCACATAATCATCAAATTAGTAATCAACTAATTAAATGCACTAAACTCATAATAAAACCAACACTTAAAAAAATAAATCACAGAAATCTTGAATAAAAAAAATAAAGGATTATAAGTCGACTACATTGTTTACTGTAATATGAAAATTAAATACTCACACTGTAAAAATAAAAGCACATAAAAGTGGAAAGACATCACCAAAAATTGATGAAACGTGAAACTGCTCGTGTCTGTCGTCTCCTTTCTTCCTGCGTGTATGCATGTAAATATCTATTATCAACTCTTTGCGTGCGTATATTGTACAACCTCCAAGTTTGACTCCAAAAGTGCTTCATTCTTCCCCGTTTCTCTTATTTTTCTTTCTTTTTGTTGGCAGCTTCTTTCTTTTCATTATTTCTTCTCTCTTTTTTCTTTTCTTTTTCTTTCTTTCTTTCTACTGGCACCGTTTTTCTTCCCTTTCTTTTCTCTCTTCCCCAGCCGCCGTTTTCTTCTATCTTCTTTTTTCTTTTTCCCTTCTCTTCTTCTCTCTCTCTCTCTCTCTCTCTCTCTCTTATTTTCTCTCTTCCTTAGCCGCCGTTTTTTTCTCTTTTTCCTCCCAAAGAACTCCAATCTCCCTGCCGCCATATATGCATGCATATTTATATATATTTCAACCACATTCTGGTCCAATAAAAATTTTCAATACAAGTACATTGATGCTCATTTAACTCCAACTCATTAATGTATTATTTCTCTCCAAGGTTCAAACTTTGAATTTTGCCATTTTTTCTCCATTTTTTACATTCTTTTCTCTAATTTTTCATTAAATATAAACTTTTTTACTTGCAAAATACAATATAATATAAATTAGGTAGAATTTTATCCAAAAGACAATAAAATATCATGATTTAGGGTCTCGAATAAATGTAGAAACTACACTTATCAGTTGCTCCTTCCAAAAGGCATGAATCCAACTTTCCAATCTTTGAATTTTGCCATTTTTCGCTATCTTTTACATTCTTTTCTCTAATTTTTCATTAAATAAAAATTTTTACTTACAAAATGCAATATAATATAAATTATGTAGAATTTTATCCAAAAGACAATAAAATATCATGATTTAGGATCTCAAATAAGTGTAAAAACTACACTTATCAATGCATATAAGCTGGACACCCAAATACTCTCAATTCAGAATAGTCAATTTCATTAACTGTCCAAACTTGCTCTGCAACTTTCCCATCTAGCGCTGCTCGTGGTGATCTATTTATGACATAATATGCTATGTTCATAGCTTTTGCCCAAAGACTTTTCGAAAGCCCTGCATCCAACCTCAAACATCTTGCCCGTTCTGCAATTGTTCTGTTTATCCTCTCCGCTACATCATTCTGCTGCGGTGTCTTGTGAACTGTATAGTATCGCTGAATACCATGTTCCTCGTAGAATTTCAGAAACTGTGAATCCGTGTACTATGTACCATTATTTGTTTTGAGATACTTAATTTTTCTACCTGACTAGTTCTATACTTCTGCTTTTTACAATTTGAAGACCCTTTACGATCAACCCTTCACCCTGTAAACTTTCGCCCGCTGGTTGTGGGCCAACAGGGTTGATGTGACTTCCTCCAATGTGACAGTCTCTTTATACCCCACGTTAATGTGATCACCAGGTGGTCGTATGAGGGAGGAAGAGAGAGCACAACAATATCATTGCCTTGTCTTCATCGTCGAACTTGATTTCAAGTCGCAACAAATCGCTGATAATTTGATTAAACACATTTGTGTGTTGAATTAGATCTGTACGCTCCAGCATTTTGAGCCCGTACAACTGTTGCTTTAGATGTAGCATGTTCGTGAGAGATTTTGACATGTAACAACTCTCTAATTTCAGCTAAACTTCCGCCGGAGATTCAACGTCTATGACGTGATGCATGATCTCGTCCGCCAAATAGAGCAGAATTCTACCCAATTGGCATCCGACGGTATCGGCCATTTTGATCCAGTAAACTTGTGTTCCACTTTATTTGAGCCACATATACAACAGTTATGATCTTGTTTTGGTTTTCGATTTTATTTATTTGTTTATTTTGCTTTTATGCACGGATCATAGTACGAGATTCAAAGTTCCTAACATTCTTTATTTCTGTTAAACATGAATGACTGAACTTGAACTTCACTGAGATTGTTACATGAATGCACTTGTTTTTATGGCATCGTACATCAAAAATGTTCCTAGTATTTACATGACGAAGTTAAGCATGTACAGAAAAGCTGCTGACCCCCTGCAAGTTATTGGTTGAGTAAGCTTTTTTGTCAAGAGTCTTAATGTTCAATTTCTGTTAGGTTGCTAGACTTAACTCAAGTTATCCAGGGGGGGCTGGCATCGTACATCAAAACTGCTAGGGAACTTTTGGCAGATTCAAAGGCTGGGAAGAACCCATATGACGGCTTCACTCCCTCTGTAAGTTGGGCTCTGTAGTTTGCAATTTGCAAACAGTTTATACGGACATGTTTTTTCTTATATTTCTGGAATACAGCTCGAGCCTCGAGTTATTTGGCAAGTTCATAGGATTTTTTTGCTGACAATTTGCACTGAGCAAGATTTTAAATTCTAGTTTCCTAATTCATTCTATAATTCTACAATGTAAATGCCATGTTTAATGGCTTAAGGAACATGACAGTTATTATTATCATTTATATAGTCAACTACAAGTGTTCAGTGTGATCAATGAATTTTGAACTGTGTGAATGGAACAAATGATTAATTTAATTATCTGTGGATATCTTGCCAAAATAGGAGTTTTTACTTTGAAGAAGTTGACAATGATATGCTATAGGAGGTATGCTATTGAGTGTTGACTGTTAGTTTCTCCTGGTAACCACTTGGTTTACTTTTACTCTAGAGAAGGTTTCTTCTCAGCTTACTGTGCTAGAAACATTTTGAGTTCTTTTAATTTAATCATATATATTGTAAAGAGTATTCCATGCAAAAAGAAAAAAAAAAAAATCTGCGCATACTCGTGATTCATTGATGTTTGAGAGTAAGATAATCAAACTAATTCTTTTTTCAGCAAAGTGGTCATATCTTGTAGATCTCAGAAATAGTGTGTGCTGACTTCTGTTTGAAAGATTTTTTTCATATGCTCTACTTACATTATTCTTATTTCCCGTAGTATTCGTTCTTGATTCTTTTGATTACGAAGCACCCATTAAGCATGAAATTTCAAGTGTTGATTTGGCTTCTTAAAGAGGGCTGATTCCTTTACAATTATCTGTAAAGAAACAAATTAACTTATCTATGTTATGCTTACTGCATCTTCTTCTCAACATTTTATCTTGGTTGGCTTCAGAACATCTTTCTCCAACAAGCTTCTGGATTTCTTGAAGAAAGTTTCTTAACTATTGATTTACCTGACTGCCTTCTTTGCTCATGCAACATACCATGTTATTTATTCCGCAAAACAGATGTGGTATCCATTTTATATTGGTTTCTCTTTTACATATTCACAAGTGCTTTCTCCTCTGTACACTGTAAAACCATGATCGAGTTTTAAATGTAATAAATATAATAATTCAACAGGTTCCTTCTGGGGAGATTCTGACGTTTGGCAACGATACCTTTATTCAATTTGAGGATGCTGGTGTCAAGGAGGCACGGAAGGCTGCATTCGTCCTTGTTGCTGGTGGCCTTGGGGAACGTCTTGGCTACAATGGTATAAAGGTAAGTTAGATTATGTATTCCGAATGGAAAATGCAATCTGTCTGACAATTTAAACAAGTCTTAATTTTTATTTTTATTTTAGACTTAGTTTGTTATTGTTGTAAAAGGCCGTGGATGCCTTTCTGAGTGTAGTATGCATGACCAATGATGATCCAACTAAAAATCAAGCAACTACATTAGTGCTTGTCGCAGGAAATGAGTCAGCTGCAATCCTTTGACTGAGATTCTCATCCTCTACAGGTGGCTCTACCTTTAGAGACAACTACTGGAACATGTTTCTTACAGCACTACATAGAATGTATTCTAGCCTTACAAGAAACTAGCTGCAGGCTGAGTCAAGGTTTGGTTACAAGGTTTTTATTTTGTAGATCAATTTGGATTGTTTGTCATTGAGGAGAATGTTATTTAAATATGAGATTACTGGTGCTATACTTAATCATAGTTTGCTTCCATGTGTATAATTTCTGACAATGTGTTTTTGCTATATATCCAGCTATGCTTTTTTCACCTGGAGGTAGTTTTAGAAAATTAAGAAAATAGTACAACAACATGAAAGGGATGAAACTTCATCATCTTGGGAAGTGTACAAATTTTGGGCTGTCCGTGTAAGTTGTCTTGTTAATCAATAGTATCTGAATATGGTTTTATTGCATAATTATTTCTCAAAAATGAGGATAGAGAATAATGCTCAAGGGGAGATTATCATCTTTGTAGTCCCAGTGGAAACTTTTCTGTCTTTGAGTTCTTTTTTGAGTAAGCAGTTTTCCTGGTGCGCTTTTGGTGTTCAACTAATATGGTAACATGTTTCTTAACACAAGTTATGACGCTGATTGATCACAATCAGCCTCTATCAAGATTACATCAACAGTATAACATGAATGGTTCTAATCTCCTCCATCTGTTCCACTCATATCTTGAGTACCTGATTAAACTCAGTTCCAAGTTGTATGACTGATAGGGGAGTGCATCTCTAGATTATCAGCATGTAGTATCTACACCACTAAGTCATGCCATGTAGACATATTCTTAGCAAAACCTTTATAACCTAGATTTCTTTTGAAAAATATTTTCCAAAGAGAAACAAAAATTGCATAAATAAATTTGGTTTTTATTGGTCATCTATTTATCCTTTTTTGGCAATTAAGGTGATGGTCCGACAGAGATTCCACCGGCTATAATGACGTCAGATTACACTCATTCACGTACTGTGGAGCTCCTTGAATCAAATGCTTATTTTGGGATGAACCCCACACAAGTAAAATTTTTAAAGCAGCTTAGCAATCAATCATGCCTACAGACATTTCATGAAATTTCCAAGCTGGTTTGGAAGGGATTATAATGTTGCCTTTGATTTTATTCCAGGAAAAAGTTGCTTGTTTAGACGATAATGATGCCAGGCTGGCTTTGGATCCGCGTAATAAGTACAGAATTCAGGTAGGTTTATATTCTGATCTTATTGGTGGAATGAACATGCAAATACTTAAGGCGGTGAATGGTAAACCGTATGTCAATAATTTTCTCTTTGGAAACTAAATTCTTATTATTCATCTGGAGTTCTTAAGGAATGTACGTATTGCACCTAAGTCATGCTGGTCTAACTTCTTTCTTGTTCAACTTAGCGATTTTTATTTTTATTTTTTTTAAAGTTTTTTTCTTCCTAAGTTTATTAATTTGCAAGAATGCTGCAGAAGAAGTTTTATTTACACACGTAATTCAGGTTCAGTGCTAATACATATTTTTCCAATCAAATAAATATCTTATACTATAATGAGGCAGATCACTTTATTCATGAATTGGAACCCTATAGTGAGCTCAGTCTTAACATCAATCCTGATTTACATGTCTCTCTAGATCCACTCTGATATCTAGTCTTTGGGGTTTATTTCGTTATCTTTTATCCAACACGTAAGCAATCAACTCTTTGAAGCTTTTTTCCCTATATTGTCTGGTTTTGATTGAACCGTGCTCATCGTTTCCAGGCATGATGCTGGTCGGAGATGGGTTTTGTCTTTCCAAGATACCAATGGTCTTCTATTCAAGGTTTAATTGAAATCCTCATCTGGCAGTGTTATTTTATCTGTAAGCAATACGTTTGGCAAATGAGTTGATATATTAATCCTCTTAGTTGAAATACACATTATTATTCTTAGTTACTAACTTGTAGTCTTTCTAAATTGTTATCGACTAGGGTGTAAATATCTATTTCTATTCTTGTATATACCTTTGCATGACAGATGAATAAAATCAGAAAAATTAAACTCCCAAAATCGACTTGGTATCAGAGCTTCACGGTAACCTAGGCGAGTCACGACTCCTTCCCGGCGACGGCGCTCCTACGTCTGTGCGAACCCTAGGCGACGGTTCTTTTTCGGTTTTTTTTTTTGTGTTACCTAAGCTTCGCCCGTTCTTGTTCGCGACTGACTTCGTGAGTCTTTCGGCGCCTGCATCAGTCGACTTCGCGGTTCCGACGCATCTGCTTACCGGTTAGTTACTTGAGTTCTGAAGTTGGCTGCACCTTCATCTTCACGGTTTTTTCTTCTCGGCTCTTGCTACATAATTCACTGGTTTGACGTGATTTAAGTGACTACTGACTAGTGTTTGGTAGTGGTTGGGCTTTTCGAGGCTGTGTATTGAGTTCACTGGTTGAAGATTGAATTTGAGTTGTTTGCATTTGGTGTTTTACTGGTACTCTAATCCTTTATCAGCAATCTAGTCTCGAAATAATGGCCGATAACAAAGGGGTTACATCGTTAATTCATGAGACATCACCTTCAATTCACATTAAGTTAGATGGCACTAACTATCGTGTGTGGTCAAAATTATTAGAGATGTACGTTATTGGCCGGAAGAGAAGAGCCCACATTTTTGGTGAATTAACTGTACCGAAAGAAAATGATAGTAGCTACGATGAATAGATGGCAGATGATGCTATCGTTAAGTCTTGGCTTATCAATTCCATAACAGATGCTCTTATGATCCACTTTGTTCAGTTTGACACAGCCAAAGATGTGTGGGATGCGGTCAAGAGAAGTTATCTTGATGTCTCTGATTCGTCACAAGTTTATGAACTAATGAAGAAATCCTTTCAGCTGCGGCAACAGGGGCGGCCTTTGGTCACGTACTGCACTGAAATGAATACCATTTTCTTGGAGCTTGACTATCGCAGAACCTACCCTATAAAGATTGCCGTCGATGTTGGTGAGTTAAAAGAAAGGTGTACTGAAGACATGATTTATATGTTTCTGGCAGGACTTGATCATAGTTTGGATCAAGTGCGTAGTCCTATTTTAGCTACCACACCCCTTCTGAGCTTGGAAGAGGTGTTCTCGATTGTTCATCGTGAGGAACAGAGACAACTCACTATGGGGGCCGAAAGTCATTCCGAGACATCTGCGTTAGTGGCAAAAGGGTTCAATCCTCGATCTCGAGCCCTTATTCCGTCTACTGAAACTTGCTCATTCTGTCACGTTAAAGGGCATACTGCTGACAAGTGTTTCAAGAAAAATGGCTATCCAGACTGGTATTTAGAAAAAAGGTTGAGAGGAAGGGTGGAAGATACTCTCAAACACCGCATTCATCCGTTGCGCCCACTCATGCACCTACACCTACATCTATTGTTTCCCATGTCACTAGTTCATCTCCTGAGGAAGGTATTTTTGGGTTGCAATCTACTTCTACCACATCTGATTTTTGGGTTATAGATTCTGGAGCTATCGATCATTTTACTTGTAATTCCACCACATTTGATTCCTTGACAACTTCGCCCGTTCAGTCTGTTCAAGTGGCTAATGGGACTCTTGTAAAAATTGCTGGGGCCGGAAATGTCTCATTTTCACCCACTTTCTCTCTCATCTGTTTTACTTGCACCTACATTTTCTACTAATCTCTTATCTATTAGTAAAATTACAAAGCATCTTGATTGCTCTGTTATCTTCTCACCTGCTGATTGCGTATTTCAGGACAATCGAACGAAGATGACGATTGGCATTGGTAGAGAGAGAGGAGGGCTTTACTTTTTGGAGGGAACAAGACGTTTGCAAACTAAGGATAGCCATAGTCTTCAAGTTGTTAGTAAATCATCTCCAAGAGATAGGATCCTTTTGTGGCATTGTTGATTAGGCAATCCTTCATTTACTTACTTAGAACACCTATTTCCAAAGCTGTTTGAAAATATTTCTAGTTCTAGTATGAGGTGTGAACAATGTATTTTTGCCAAAAATCATTGTGTACCTTTCAAGGTCAGCTTTAATAAAAGTTCTGTTCCTTTTACTTGTGTTCATACTGATGTTTGGGGGCCTTTCTCTACTCCATCCGCTACAGATCATAAATATTCTGTCTCTTTCATTGATGATTGTACTAGAGTATGTTGGATATATTTGTTAAAATCTAAGGGTGAAGTACTGCATGTTATTCCAAAATTCTCAAAAATGATTGAGACACAATTTCATACACGGGTTAAAGTTATTCATTCTGACAATGGTCGTGAGTTTGTAAACCAAACCCTTGGCAACTTCTTCTCGACTCATGGCATTCTACATCAAACCACTTGTGCTTACACACCTCAGCAAAACGGCATTGCTAAGCGAAAAAATGGACACATTCTTGAAGTAGCTCGGGTTTTATGTTTTACTATTCGTGTTCCAAAACGTTTTTGGGCTGAGGCGGTAACAACTGCTGTTTTTCTCATAAATCGCATGCCTTCTCGCATCATTAACTTTCAAACTCCTTCAAGAATGTTGTCACAGTTTCACTCTATTCCTTCTGCTTTAAATATTTGTCCTAAAATTTTTGGTTGTGTGTGTTATGTCCATGTGCATTCTCATTTCAGGGACAAATTTGATCCTCGTGCCCTGAAATGTGTCTTCCTTGGCTACTCAAGCTCTCAGAAGAGCTATAAATGCTTTCATCCCCCTACGGGAAAATACTATGTTTCTATGGATGTGGAATTTTGTGAATCAGAATCCTTTTTTGAGGGGGAAATTAGTATTAAGGAAGAGGAACGGATATGGTTAGAGGAAAAGAAAGTATGGATTTTTAGAGAGGAGGGAGAATCTGAAGTTGAATCCCAAGTTGAATATCGAGTTGAGGATGATAGATTACCTCGCCTGTTCCAAAAGTGTTATACAAGGAGAAACTCAGACAATGACAATGCTTACACTCCAATATTACCCTCTTTAGACCCCGATAACCCTCTTGATACTATAGTGCCATCTGATTCTTCAGAGATTAAAAATGAGGTACCTACTCTACTTACCCCTTTTACTCCTATCTCTACTTCTGACTCTAATCCTGCAGCTTTAGATATTGTTGACACTCAGGATATGAGATATCCTCTTCGAGTCCATATAAGCCTGATAGGTTTGGTTTTTCGAAATCTTCTTCCAATGTTATCTTTCCCATCTCTGATTATATCTCGTACCATCATTTATCTCATACTAATTTGATGTTTGCCCTCCAGTTATCTTCTATGACTATCCCTAATCACTTTCAGGAAGCTCTTGATCAACCTAAGTGGAAATCCGCTATGGTAGAAGAGATGAATGCTCTCCAAAAGAACTCTACTTGGGAGATGGTCTCATTACCACCGGGGAAAAAGACTGTGGGATGCAAGTGGGTGTACTCATTAAAACACAGGTCAGATGGAACTGTGGATAGGTACAAAGCTAGATTGGTTGCCAAAAGGTACACACAGACTTATGGGATTGACTACGAGGAAACTTTTGCTCCAGTAGCTAAGATGAATATCGTTAGAGTCATTCTATCTCTAGCAGTTAATCTTGATTGGCCATTGAGGCAATTTGATGTTAAAAATGCATTCCTTCATGGTGATCTGATAGAGGAAGTGTATATGGATCCTCCTCCCGGGAGTAATGTGTGTAAGTTGAAGAAAGCCCTCTATGGGCTAAAACAATCTCCAAGAGCGTGGTTTGGAAGATTGAGTTGTTCAATGAAAAAATATGGTTTTAAGCAGGCATTGGCTAATTGCACTTTATTTTATAAGAGGGATAATCATGATATTACTATGCTTATCGTGTATGTGGATGATATGATTGTTACTGGAAGTAATCCCAGTGAGATTGAGAAACTCCGAATCCATTTGACAAAGGAGTTCGAAATGAAGGACTTGGGTACTTTGAAGTATTTTTTGGGCATTGAGGTTTCACGGTCCGAGCAAGGA